GTCATGTGGTCGCGCGGAGGCATCCGCAATTACACGGGAATGTTTTCCTAGAGATGTCAGCCTACAAAGGACACAATCTCTCTTCCTCAAATTCCGCCCCAAAATGTCCTTTCCCAACAGCTCTCCTGCCGCTAATACTTTTTTAGTAGATTCTCTCATCAGTGCGTGCAGGAGTGACAGTTTCTACTCCAACAGCGCCAGCATGTATATGCCACCTAGCACAGACATTGGGACGTATGGGATGCAAACCTGTGGACTCCTTCCGTCTCTGGCTAAAAGAGAAGTTAATCACCAAAATATGGGTATGAATGTACATCCTTATATACCTCAAGTAGACACTTGGACAGACCCGAACAGATCTTGTCGAATAGAGCAACCTGTTACACAGCAGGTCCCCACTTGTTCCTTCACTACAAATATTAAAGAAGAAAGCAATTGCTGCATGTATTCCGATAAGAGATCCAAACTCATTTCTGCAGACGTCCCTTCCTACCAGAGGCTGGTGTCTGAATCATGCCCCATTGAGAACCCCGAGGTTCCCGTCCCAGGATATTTTAGACTGAGCCAGACCTACGCCACTGGGAAAACCCAAGAGTACAATAATAGCCCTGAAACGAGTTCAACTGTAATGTTACAGTTAAACCCTCGCGGCAGCTCCAAACCGCAGATATCTGCTCAACTTCAGCTGGAAAAGAAAATGAATGAAAACCCGAACAACCAAGACAGCACCGCTAAAGTCTCTCAAGTGGAAAGTCCCGAGCCCAAGTCCACGTTGCAAGACGAGCGGAGCTGCCTGCCCGAAGGCTCCGTGTCCAGCCCAGAAGTCCAGGAGAAGGAGAGTAAAGGTCTGTATTACCGAGTTTAAGCCGTGCCGTGGTGTAACTCCAACACGCCAGCACCATAAAGCACGCTCGAATATACTAACGAGCATCACAGCCATCACATTTAATGCTAAGGAGTATCGGGCTGCAGGTGCTGTGTCTCTGAAGATTTTGGCAGGCAAAAAAATGCTACACAAAAGGGTCCAAAGATTTTCTGTAGAGATCTGCCTCTCTCGTGCATGCAGACCGCCTCTGTGATGCGGGGAATATAGCCGTGTGCTCCCTAATGCGCTGCAGCAGCCAAAAGCAGCCCCATACCTCTGAAAAAGCAGGTCTGGAGGTTGTAAAATACGACCAGCTCAACTTTTCTCTCGTAATATTTCGCGGTTTTTTTTAATTTTTTTTTTTTTTCCACTGAGCCTTACTGCGGTTTGATTGCATTTAAAGTTAATTACGATCCTATTAAAATAGGTGAGGAATAGGTGCTACCAGGCTGGGTAAAGTTGGAAACAAATGCACAATGAAAGCAGCAGCCCGCTATCTGCCTGGTCCAAAGGTGGAATATTTCAGTGTGGTGCTTTAGATAACCTTGGGTCGGTCTCCAAAAGTGCAACAGTATTTTGAAATGCGTTTGAAAGCTAAAGGTGGTGGTAATCCGATTTTATTTTCCCTTTAAAAGTGCACTAAAGCCTTCCTTTCGAACGGCGTGTGTCTAAGAATCCCAAAACGGGAAATTTTCTCCTATCAAAATGTACTTTGCAACCTCTAGGTCGATTTTTACCCTACGTGTGCATGGAGATTCTTTCTATCTGAATTATATTAAACAGCCCAGGTCTAGGTTGATGTGGGGCAGATTTCTTTCTGGCGGGAAAAACAAACAAACAAAAAAGCTAAAAAGAAAATGGGAAAAAAAAAAACAAACCACAAAACCCGAGGCAGAGGCTGTTTATTTCTTGTGTATCTTTTTTGGCTGGGAAAACGTCTATGTCTGCTCCTAGGTGTGCTGGTGTAATTCAGCTGATGGCTGGGGGGGAAGCTGCTTCAAAAACCCAGTGCGAGGATATTTTGTAATTGGGATATTTTCGTAGCAAGTGTCGTGGGAGCCCGAGGCGGCCACCGCGAGGCTAGACCCGTTAAAATGTGGCCATGGGGCTGATGGCAGGTTAAATATTGTGGAAATGCTGAAAACTCGAGAGCCCGTTTCTGGAAGGGGCAGGAGAGCGGGGCGGCCGCAAGGCAGGGTGCCGGGCGGTGGGGACGGGCGAGCCCAGCCTGGCAGCAGGTCCCCTCTCTGTGCCCACACCTCGCCCGAGCTGTGTTTAATGCCCACATCCACCATATCTGCCAGACACTGCAGAGGAGGGGTCATGGCCAAGGGTACACTCTAACAGCCTGAGGTATTTTTGATTTTTTTTTTTTTCTTCTTCTTCTTCTTTGATTTTGATAGAGGAAATCAAGTCTGATACTCCAACAAGCAATTGGCTAACTGCAAAGAGTGGCAGAAAGAAGAGGTGTCCTTATACTAAACACCAAACACTGGAATTAGAGAAAGAGTTCTTATTCAATATGTATCTCACTCGAGAGCGCCGTCTAGAGATCAGTAAGAGCGTAAACCTCACTGACAGGCAGGTCAAGATTTGGTTTCAAAACCGCAGAATGAAGCTCAAGAAGATGAGCAGGGAGAACCGAATCCGGGAACTGACCGCTAATCTGACCTTCTCTTAAACCCTTGGGGGGGGCACCAGTGAGGAATGGGCACAGCACCGCCACTTGCTAAAGGCAGGAGAGACTCTGGCAAAACCCGGCATTTTCCAGTTTTGTTTTGTTTTTGGTTTTGTTTTTCTGATAGAATGTGACTCTTCGTCCTTCTTTTAGCGCTGCAAGTGAATATGTATTACTATGATGAGTATATATAAAACCTAGCACGTGTAATTTATTTTTGTTCTCATCGTAATGCAGGGTAACTATTATTGAATATTATCATTTGGTCTTAACTTATTGGAACTGTCGAACATCCAAGCAATGTGACTTTTTCATGTTTTTACTAACAAAATGGTATTTATGTGGGGCTGTTACACGGGCCATAACGTTTTGAGTACATTCAATACTTTAAGAAAAAAAAAAGGGGGGG